TGTAGAGTCGAAAATCTAGATTATCCAATTAGTCCAAAGTCTAGTCCTGACTAGGTGAATGTCTAGTTTTAAGTATAACTCAAACTCTAGTCTATAAAAAGTTGAATATCTAATGTATGTATAAACTAGTTGAATTCTAGCCTATTGACTAGTCGAAAATATATTCTATAGACGAGTCGAATGTCTAGACTATAACTTAGTCTAATAGCTAGTCTAGATAATGGTCGACTATATAGTCTATATACATTTAGAATACATAATCTATAAAATAATCGAACGTTTTGCCTGTAGATTAGTCTAGTAGGTAGATAAGTAAAAAGCATTGTATATAAATAGGCCCATAGACTTTTCTATATCATAGATTAGCCGAAAGTCTATTCAATAGACTAGTTGAATATATATATTCTTAGACAAGTTCATAGTCTAGAGACAAGAATGAAGTCTAGTCTAAAACCGAAAAACAAAGAATAGTCTACATACTAGTCGAATGTCTAGTTTATAGTGTAATTCAAACTCTAGAATATAAATATGTAGTTGGAAGTCTATTTTATAAACTGGTCAAAAGTTTTGTCTACAGATTAGACGAAAATATAGACTAGTCGAACATCTAGCCCTTAGACAAGTAATAAATATACTGCCTTTATACATAACAATTTATAAAAGGTTTATAGTATAAAAAATTTGCCTTATAAACTTTTGATAAATTGTTATGAATAAGGCGCATAGTCTGTGTAAATAAACTGGTCTATAGACTATTAGAATTTCTATATAATAGACTTGTCGAAAGTCTAATTAATAGACTAGTTGAAATGTATAATATAGACAGGTCAAAATTTCTATAGTCTGTAGACAAGTAAGAAGTCTAATCTGCAAACTGGTCGAAAGTTCATGTTATGAACTGATAGAAATTCTGATCTATAGAATATTAAACATATAGTTTAGTTCATAGACTGTCAAAACTCTATTCTATAAACATTTAAAAGTGTTATAGTCTAGACTATAAACTAGTCGAAAGCCTGCTATGTAGGCAAGTAGAACTCTATAGCTTATAGCTATGACTACAGACTAGACGAAAATATATTATACAGAATAGTCGAATGTCTAGTTTATAGTGTAATTCAAACTCTAGAATATAAATATGTAGTTGGGAGTCTAATTTATAAACTGGTCAAAAGTTTTGCCTACAGATTAGACCAAAGTATTTACTAGTCGAATCTAGACCGTAGACAAGTAACAAATATACTACCTTATACATAATAATTTATAAAAGGTTTATAGTTTGAAAATTTACTTGTCTAATAAACTTTTGTTTTTTTAATTTTTATGAATAAGGCCCATATTCTGTGTAAATAAACTGGTATAATAAACTGGTCTATAGACTATTCAAATTTCTATATAATAGACTTGTCGAAAGTCTAGTTAATAGACTAGTTAAAATTCTGAAATTCTGCTGAAATTCTGATCTATAGAATATTAAATATATAGTTAAGTTCATAGACTGTAATAATAAAAACTCTATTCTATAAACGTTTAAAAGTGTTATACATAAACTGGAATAGTCGATAGTCTAGCCTATAAACTAGTCGAAAGCCTGCTATGTAGGCAAGTAGAAGCCTACATTATAGCTATGACTACAGACTAGACGAAAATATATTATACAGAATAGTCAAATGTCTAGTTTATAGTATAATCCAAATTCTAGTCTAGAAATAGGCTAGTATAAAGTCTATTCTATAAACAGGACCATAGACTTGCCGAAAGTCTAGTCAAGAGACTATTTGAAGTGTTTTCTATAGTGATTGTATTCTATATAAGTCTACAAGTAATAAGTCAAGTCTAAAGACCAGTCCAAAGTCTATGTTATCAACTAGTCGAAAGTCTGGATAATATAATATTAAACATCAGGTTTATAGCCTAGTCTAGTGTCTAGTTTACAGTCATGTATTAGACTAGTTGAAAATCTAATAAACAAATTAGCATAAAGTCTAGTATAGACTATTCAAAAGTCTAGTCTAATCAGTAGACTAGTTGAAAATCTAGTCAATAGACTAGTCGAAAGTCTAGTCAATAGACTAGTCGGAAGTCTAGTCAATAGGCTAATTAAAATGTGTTTTCAATAGTGATTGTATTCTATATAAGTCTACAAGTAATAAGTCAAGTCTAAAGACTAGTCCAAAGTCTATGTTATGAACTAGTCGAAAGTCTGGATAATATAATATTAAACATCAGGTTTATAGCCTAGTCTAGTGTCTAGTTTATAGTCATGTATTAGACTAGTTGAAAATCTAATAAACATATTAGCATAAAGTCTAGTATAGACTATTCGAAAGTCTAGTCCATAGACTAGTCGAAAATCTAGTCAATAGACTAGTCGAAAGTCTAGTCAATAGACTAGTCGAAAGTCTAGTCAATAGACAAGTCGAAAGTCTAGTCAATAGAATTGTCGAAAGTCTAGTCAATAGACAAGTCGAAAGTCTAGTCAATAGACTAGTCGAAAGTCTAGTCAATAGACTAGTCGAAAGTCTAGTCAATAGACTAGTCGAAAGTCTAGTCAATAGACTAATTAAAATGTATTCTTTAGACAAGTCAAAAGCATATATTACGATAGAAAAGTCGAAAGACTCTATTCTATATACTAGTCGCAATTTTAGCCTATAAACTAGTCGAAAGTTAACCTATAGACAAGTCGAATGTCTAGCCTACAGACTAGTCCAAATATTGTGTATAGACTAGTCGAATGCAAATGTCTACTATCTATAGTCTAGTTCGCAGATAAGCAGAATTTCTACTATACGAAAGTCTATACAATATACTAGTCTAATGTCTATACAATAGTTTAGTCGAAAGTCTAGTCGATGGACAAATTGAAAATATATTGCTATAGGCAAGTCAAATTTCAATAGACTCTAGTCTATAAGTAGTTGAAAGTATTGTTTATAGACTAGTCGAAAGTCTAGTCTACAGTCTAGTCAAGTCTACAGATCAGTCGAAAATATCAAATTTAAATTAAAGTATCTAACTGAATATATGAATATTGCGACTCATATAGTGTAAATTTTTCTAAGCCGATAACTGTAATTTTAAGGATCATGCTACAAAAATAACTTTAACACATGCGAAGATTTCATTAATAGAAAAGTTTTCCTCTTTGATGCTTTGCTAATCAATCTAATTAATTTTTTTCCTCGAAAAAAAAATGTCAGCTAAAAACATTTACAAACAATCTAAACAAAAGCCAATGAGAAAAAAATGTATTTGTGTATGTGTCATAAAAAATGAAAATCCTAAATGTATGCTAATGATATTTTAAAAATGGCTAAAAAAAGAAAAAAATTGTTGAAATTAATTTAATTAAAAAAGTACTACGAGTACATTTGTTAAAATGTAAAAACAAATTTAATTAAATGTTAAACACATTTACTTTTACATATATGTAACTAAGGAAGTGCACTTCTAAACAATTTCAAATACTTGCTCAACCATACGAGTAAGTACTTCAAACACATTTATATTTAAATTAAAAGAATTTTTCCAAAACACTTACCTTTAAAAAGCTTTTGAAAAGAAATTGAAAAACTTGAGTTTAAAATTAAATTTAATATTTTTTTTTTTTTTTTGCAATTTTATTTCAATAAATTTTTCTCCTTTTCTTCATTAGTTTTTTTTTATTAATTTGGTATAAGTTTTACATGAATTAAAATAATATATTTTTTTATTCTTGTTATTTTCAAAATTCAGCATTAAATACTTAAATGTAAAAATAGTTTCAATTTATTTTTACACTTTTTTACAAGTAATTGTTACATTTACATACACACATTCAAACATTCATTAGATTGTTACTAAATGTATATTTTGTTTATTTTTAATAGAAAATATTAAAATATTTAAACACATTTACATACATAATACATACACACTGATGATACATACAGATAAAGATTTGTTTAAATGTACAACACTGTTGTCTTACTGCATGCTCTTGCTTGGAGTAGTAGTATAGAGTGATGTAGAACTGACATTAGTACCCTTACGCTATAAATTCTGTCTGCGATGTTAATGGTTATAGGTCTATTATGGACGTTTAAGTAATTTTCTAAACGAAGTTTGTATGGGGGCTAGGGCCTAATAAGGTCCGTTCATTCTAATGAGGGTTTAAAGAGGCACGAAAACCTACACTTACTTGTGTCAACTTAACGTGAGCAGGGACTTTTGATTTTGGCGTAACTGGTCTAAAAATAAAGTGCTTAAGATAGCTTTTTGCCTATAGCTCTTGTACAAGGATGAAAAGTACCCAAAATTTCTTTTCAAATTAAGGAAAATAAAGCCATATTGGAGTTGGCAATTATTTATTTTAATTGAAACTTATCTCGTTGTAAAATTGTATATATATACCACTACTCCATTAAGTTTAATTGAGCTGTGCCCACACTTTAAAAAGTAACTTTTATGGCAGAGTTTGCAAAAACATTAATTAAAACAATTAAAATAAACTTAAATTACAGTCAAGTTAGCAGTTATAATGTAAAAGTTGTTAATACAAAAACAACACAGACTGTACCTGTATAGTGTGACAAATAATAGGCAGAACAATTACTGAATTTATATTCAACAGGGTGGGGGGTAATGACTACATTTTCAATTACAATTACATTTGAAGTAATTGTAATTGAAGCATTACCAATTACAATTACTTGTAATTGTAATTGAAGTTTTGACAATATTACTTGTAATGGTAATTGAAGTTTTGCCAATTACAATTACTTGTAATTGTAATTGAAGAATTTCCAACTACAATTACTTGTAATTGTGAATTTAGTTCCTTATAATTACATGTAATTTGTAATTAGTAATACCTTAATGACAATTACAAGTAATTTTAATTGGAAACTTGAATTACAATTACAAATAATTGTAATTGGCAAAACTTCAATTACAATTACAAGTAATTGTAATTGGTTATTGATCAATTACACATTACAAGTAATTGTAATTGGAAACATTTCAGTTACAATTACAAGTATTTGTAAGTACAACTATTTGTAATTGGTTATTACTGAATTACACATTACAAGTAATTGTAATTGACCATGTAATAAATTACTTTGTGTAATCATTACCCCCCATACCTGATATTCAGATAAGATTTTTTTGTCTTTTTATAACTTTTTCAATAATCGGTTAAATATTCCTTTCTTTGCAATCGTTATGCAAATAAGTACAAAGTTATAGTCATTTGAGGCCGACCATACGAGACCCAACATCAGCCAAAGGTTTTTAAAGAGATTTTCGGCTCTATGGCTTGGATTATTATTCTACTGATTTTCATTGTGGACCAATTATAGACTAAACTCTATAGACTTTTATTATTGTATGTTTGCCTATATAAATTATTCGGTAAACACTTTCAAATATTAAAATCTATTAAAAATTTTAGTAATATGTTTTTCGATAATCGGCTCGTTATTGATCTATATAAGAACCACTTTCAAATATAATTAAACTTGAACGATAGTTTATCTGCATGCTGCAAATTCGTATATAACCCCATTATTTGGCAGGATGCAAGGGTAATATTTAGGTCCAAAACCGGAAAACCTATACACCAAAGTCCCATCAACCGATAAGTCTTCGTATATCCTACTTAAAACCTTTGTACATATAGTCGTAAGCATGGTTAAAAGCAGAATACCAGATAAAGACCTAAAATAAAAGCAGTATGCTTGTGTAAAGGGACAATCGGAGGAAACTGAGTTGAATGAAGCCGCCCTCTATATAGATGAATCCCTCGATAGCAAACTGTATACAGTGGTGGTATGCATTGACACCGAAGCCGCCTTCAATAAAGTGTGCACGTTATACTCTAATCCAATACTTAGACAAGTTTTATGTTGACCTGTTACGGAGCACCCGGATGGATAAACTACGAAATGTACGATATAACAGGAAAAGGATATTTTACGGTACACCACATGGTGGCATTTTGTCCCCTTAACTCTGGGTAACCACGATTAATAGCCTCCTACGGACCCTAACAGAGAAAGAGGTCAAACCTGCCTGCTATGCAGACGATGTCGTAATACTTCTAAGGGTAAAGGATCCAAAATATTTGTGTAGAAAGGCTGGACTCAACCGTGAGGCCTCAATCTGAAAGCGACGAAGACGGAAATCTATCTGGTAGTCTTCTTTTGGCAAAAAGTGTAATATCATACTGCTACAGGGAGTACAGCGTACATGCTGCTTGGGTATTAGTGGTGCCATGAGCAGTACATCAACCACGGCTCTGCTAGATATTCCACCAAATGAAACATATATAAGATATAAGGCGGCTCATAACTTTAGGCGAATTGACCAAAATCAGTTATAGGACACGTCAACAATGTTTACTGGACACATTAGAAGGCTATACATAATCATTAAACATGATCGATCGTATACCGGACACTGATCCCAGTTAGAATGTCATAGTCAAGCGGAATATTACAGAAAATACGCGTAAAAATCTACACGAATGGCTCTAAATTGGCAATTAGGACGATATCAGGCGATAAAGTTAAATCTAGGACCTATTGGATTGTAAGAAATTCTTAAGCGAATACTCTCCCAGATGCAAGGTACACTTCACATGGGTACCATGCCGCTCGGGAGTAGTCGGCAACAAAAAGCGAATGTACTTGTAACGAGGGATGAATTCAAAATATGGGTGAGAGAATTCTATAAGGCCTCTTGAAACGGTGGGTGGAACCACCGGTAAAACTAACGAGAGCAGTACGAGAAGCAAGTCTGAGGTTGGTATGATGAGTGACACACATGACTACAGTGAAAGAAAGTGCTAAAGTACTTTGCCATTGTCAGGCTTATATCGAAATTAGATTCAAATATCTAGGGAGTGATATTATAGAAACTGCGTTTCTGAATATCGGATGATAATACACACCGTGAATACGATATTAAGATTTTGTCTTAACCAACAATTATTTTCCATAAAAATGTGCACTCCCGATAGTTGTCTAGGCACATATATTTCCTCGGATTTAATACAGTATACATCATCCTATCAAACTAACTTAACCTTAGATTGAAAGAATCATTTAAAATAATATAATCTGGTTTTCAAGATATGGAGTCCTATAACTAAATGTCATAATTGAGAAGTTTTAAAGGCGTAAAAATATAATTGTTGGTAAAATCTGTCTATTATATTGCTTTCTTACTTGCTGTTTATTTGTTCTAACTATTTTCTGTCACACTGTTTACATATAAAATAACTTAAATTAACTTGATCCAGTATTTACACTTGGAAAACCCACTTTTATGTTTCTGCAAAATTATAAACAAATATTTCAGTTAAATTCGTATTTTTTCATATTTTTGTAAAGCAAAATAAAAACCAATAAATCGAGGAACTTAAACAGGTTCCTATTTATTTTGGCCCAACGTAAACATAGTGTTTTAAATTTAAAGTGCCTCATCGACTAATTTGTAGTCATGCGGATTTGAATTGTTATTTGTGTTGAAGGTGGAATTAGTGGTGGCTATTTCGATCAAACTGCTGGTGGGTTCAATTGATGCAATAGACGGTGTTGTTGTACAACTAGTGTTTGGAACATTTGTTTTATCGCACATACTACTCGTACTAGTTTCCAGGATTATTGGTAATGTACCTAAAGGGTTAATTATGCTGGTGGTAGTTATTGGTAGTGGTGCTGCTGCAGTTACAGTTGAATTTATAGAGGATGTTGCTGTAATCGCAACTAATGCTGTCGTTGTATGTTGTAAAATTTTTTCATATGCTGGTGGTATTGTTGTTGTTGTTGTTTCTGTTGTTGTCGTCGCTATGGCATTATTGCTAGTAGAGTTAATATCAACAATTTGTTGTATTTCATCTCTGTCATCGGACACATCTGTTGTTGCTGTTGTTACCATTAGACAACAGTCGCTTGCATTTTGCTCAGTTGGTTGCATTGTTATTGATGTCCTTTGTGTTTCCTCCATTAACGGTTGGGTAATGCGTGAATTTGTCGAATCTAATGTTTTGCGTCGTAATAAATGAGCTTTCCTTAAGCCACTTAAAAAACCCATCGTACCACGACTATAATGAGATGTTGCTTGATGTTGATGATGATGTTGCTGTTGATGCGCTGATGCTTGTGCTGTGCTATGGGATCGTTGGCGTTGCTGTTGTTGATGATGATGATGGTGATGGCGTGTAGATGAAGATGTTGCTGATGTAACAGCACTAGACGCTCTTCGCGTAACCACTGACGACAACTCTTTTAGTCATACTTTCTCTTCACCGGGCATTGCGGGTCCACAGCGTACGAACTATAATCAAAAGAACTGAGATTTTGTGATTTTCTATTAACAGGGAAAAATGCTTGTCTTTAAAGCCAATTGAATTTATTGCGTTTTAACTAGAGTTTTATTTGAAATTTTGTTCAAAGCAAAAGTAATTTACTATATACATACATTTTTAGAGATAAGCTAAAATAAAAAAGAGCAGAAAGCGAAATAAGTAAATATGCGAAATATTAAATAATAAATTGGAGAAAAATATTAATGTGCATTCTATTTCTAGTATTTTTTTTAAGACATGTAGTGATATCCGTCTGTCAGTTACAATTTTTTAATGCGAATTTAATGAAATTTGGTAAGTAACTGAAATTTGTCAAATCAGTCTATTTTTAAGCCCCAATAGTTAATGTCTGACACCAAAATTACACTATAGTCATCAGCGGCGCAGATGTCAATGATTATCTCATGATTTCACAAATACTCTCCCAGGTCATAGACCTAATAACAATATAGTAGTGATGCAATAGGTAAGGAGTGCACCCTTTCTAAATAGAAGAAAAATAAATTGCAATTAACCAAACGAAATCGTGAGTTGTCTTCTTCAATCATTACCCGTTATAGGGTTCACATTGAGAGAATCGTAAATAAGCTTATACACTCTTAAATGCGTCAACCGTAAGAACATACAAAACCTCTATATCAAATGAAAAAGCATGATATGTAGTAGACTCTAGAGATAACGTAGAAGATGTCGCAAACCCTCCAATGAACTCAAGAGATACGGCGAATGTTCGTCATAAGAGTTCCCTTTGAACAAAAATCAGGGTAGAAGTGCAAGATGTCGAAGTACTTTAAGTGAACGGTGGTACTTTATCAACCACTGGGTGAGGTGGGTGACTAGATGAGTCACCGAATCCCCTTTGTGTGCTTTACGCGGCGGTGGAAATGTATGTACATGGTTCTGCCGGTCCATGTACTCGAGCTATCTAATCTGTGACCATTGGTGTCCTGTTGCTTAACTTCCGAGATGTAAAAGCATCACTTCCGTTTACAACCAAGCAGATGGGATGGGCTCTGTTGAGTCGACAACAGTACTTAGAATCGTATTCGATAGACTGAAACACGAATCCAAGCCGATGACTTACTTCTTACTCACAGAGAACACACTGTGGTAAATCTAGTATGAACAGAGTTTTCCCTGAACATACCTGGACAAGGAAGGAAAATTCAATGGTATCAGTTGTATTAGATACCTTACATCCATCACTATTCAACCCAGCACTCTTCTAAGTCATTTGACTCTTCTAAGATCCGTTATCCCTACATTCATCCTGCATCATATACACCTCATTCTCAACGCTTAGTCCCACAATTACTCCTCTGTGCGGTATCTGTTGACTTCGGCAACAGCACCGAATCTATCCAGAATTATAGACTTTAACGTACATCATTTCTCCAATAACCGGACAAGACAAAATCCGAATTTGCGTTGGAGGTTCTCTGGTTCGACCCCATGTCAAAACATTATAAGGAAGGGCTGAGGATGAGTCCCGGCAGACTAGAGCTACTGGTAACACCTCTTTTCCCCGGGATTGCAATCACACCAAGAGGAGGTCTTTCATCAAGGTTACACGCTCCCGGAAGAGGTTAGAAGTGGAAACGTTTTTGCTGCTGCCTCGAAAGATCCACTCAGACCTGTCGTTTGCTCAAAATCATGTAAATCACATGCCGTCCAGGAATATATCCAAAAACAAGACAGCTGTGGACAACAAGTAGCTATGAAACACTAAAATACAATGGTTAGATCCAGTCGGTATCTCAATATAAAGTTTCGACCCATATAAATATCCTAGCCCGTGAGACATAATATTAGCTGGCTTTCAACAGAATACTAGTTATTCCTTCGTTAGTATAAATATGTATATCTCCTGGTCCTACACACCTGACCAATGGGTAAAATTTAATGTGACGTAAAATCCTAAAAGAGGTAAACATCACACATTAAAGCGAAAGATCATAGATGCAAAAGTCTATATTCATTTCAGCTGAAATCGTTAGAAAAGTTTATCATTTACATTCACATTGATTCTACAGTATTATAATACCCTAGCATACCCTGGGTGCTTCGCTACCCTAATGAAAATTAAATACATAAATTTTTTTTTACTTTTATAGAAAATTAATATTTATTTAATGTTTCAGTTTTTTACGTTCAATATTCAGGAAGAATCTTGTATTTTTAGTTTCATTCGTTTAGCTTCCACATTATAGAAAATTTCAAAATTACTATTTGAAAAAAGTACTATAAAATACCTCCTATTTAATCAAAAATTTTATGTTTCTGTGTTCAATATTATAGACAATTAAAAACAAGTAAGAAATTATAGTCGGGCGAGGCCGACCATATAATACCCTACACCTTTGACAAAAATATAATGTGATTTAGTTGCCATAATAAAGCATTTAAGTTGAATTGTACCTTGCCTTAGATATACATACTTAAGCCGTTTATTGTTGAATACAATTGTGGACATTTAAGTGAAATTTTGATGGGGGCTTTTCATAGGGGCTAGGGTCATATGAGAACCTATTATTATAGAATTCGTGGGGGTCATCAAGTCTTGTATACAACTTGGTTATTGCAGCTTTTTGTCGAGATATGAGTATATTAAACATAATTATGAACTTAAAAGCGCTATTCGGCTAGTTCAGTTGTAAGGGGGCTAGGTGAAATAATGGACCGATGTGAACCATTTTCAACAGGCTTCATCTACGGTACCATAAAAGATCATGTGCCAAATTTCATTGAATTATCTAAAAAATTGCGACCTGTAGTTTGATTACAAGTTTTAAAAGCCCTATTCGGGGGTTCAGTTGTATGGGGGCTAGGTGAAATAATGAACCGATGTAAACCATTTTCAACAGACTTCATCTACGGTACCATAAAAGATCATGTGCCAAATTTCATTGAATTATCTTCAAAATTGCGACCTGTAGTTTGATTACAAGTTTTAAAAGCCCTATTCGAGGGGTTCAGTTGTATGGGGGCTAGGTGAAATAATGGACCGATGTAAACCATTTTCAACAGGCATCATCTACGGTACCATAAAAGATTATGTGACAAATTTCATTGAATTATCTTCAAAATTGCGACCTGTAGTTTGATTACAAGTTTTAAAAGCCCTATTCGAGGGGTTCAGTTGTATGGGGGCTAGGTGAAATAATGGATCGATGTAAACCATTTTCAACAGGCATCATCTACGGTACCATAAAAGATCATGTGACAAATTTCATTGAATTATCTTCAAAATTGCGACCTGTAGTTTGATTACAAGTTTTAAAAGCCCTATTCGGGGGTTCAGTTGTATGGGGGCTAGGTGAAATAATGGACCGATGTTAACCATTTTCTATAGGCTTCGTCTACGGTACCATAAAAGATCATGTGCTAAATTTCATTGAATTATCTTCAAAATTGCGACCTGTAGTTTGATTACAAGTTTTAAAAGCCCTATTCGAGGGGTTCAGTTGTATGGGGGCTAGGTGAAATAATGGACCGATGTAAACCATTTTCAACAGGCATCATCTACGGTACCATAAAAGATCATGTGACAAATTTCATTGAATTATCTTCAAAATTGCGACCTGTAGTTTGATTACAAGTTTTAAAAGCCCTATTCGGGGGTTCAGTTGTATGGGGGCTAGGTGAAATAATGGACCGATGTTAACCATTTTCTATAGGCTTCGTCTACGGTACCATAAAAGATCATGTGCTAAATTTCATTGAATTATCTCCGAAATTGCGACCTGTAGTTTGATTACAAGTTTTAAAAGCCCTATTCGAGGGGTTCAGTTGTATGGGGGCTAGGTGAAATAATGGACCGATCTTAACCATTTTCAATAGGCTTCGTCCTTGGGACAACAGAAGATCATGTACCAAATTTCATTGAATTATCTTCAAAATTGCGACCTGTAGTTTGATTACAAGGTTTACATGGACGGACGGACGGACGGACAGACGGACGGACAGACGGACGGACATAGCTAAATCGACTCAGAAAATGATTCTGAGCCGATTGGTATACTTTAAGGTGGGTGTAGGACCAATATTATTGTGCGTTACAAACATCAGCACAAACCCAATATACCCTCCCCACTAAAGTGGTGTAGGGTATAAATATAACTTGATGAATGAAAAAGTACCAAAAGTCCCTTTCAGTAGATTCTCATTCACTAAGGTCCCTATATTTTAAATTTTATATTTCTATGTTCAATATCGTAAAAATATCAAAAAATACCATCGGAAAAACGAAAAAGTACAAAAATCTCTCTCAATAAATTTTCATTTAATAAGGATGTATTCCGGTTAACCATTATAGAGAAACCAAAAGGTACCATTTGAAGAATGGAAAATTGCCAAAGAGTACCCACTTACAGAATATTATTCAGTTTTCTTATTTATATGAATTATAAAACATACTCTGTATGAAAAGTACAAAACAGGTGTCTATTAATTTTGGGAGATATATTCAAAATATTTACAAAAATTTTATTTTGTATATTATTTAAAAAAAGTTATAAAGGGCCAAAAAAGGTACCAAAATCAACTTAGTTACACATTTTCATCCCTTAAAAGTACGAATTTCAAAAAAGTACCAGATATCCATCTGCTTATTTTGAGAGTAGATACATGTGCATTTAAAATTTTTCTTGTACCACTAATATTAGGTAAGATCTTTTATCCGTTTTATCCCTCTAAATGTACAAATTTCCAAAAATCCCTGCTTAGTGGACCTATATTACCAAAAACACGTTTACTGTCAAAATTTCATGATTCTAGGCTCAGCAGTTTGGTCTGTGCGATGATGAATCAGTCAGTCAGTTACGCTACTCTTTTATATACATATATGTAGATAGTAAAGGACTTGGTTTTTCTGTATTTTCAAATGCATCGGATTATTAAGGAGATAACTATTTATTTCGCTGTAGATCCCACTGTACAGGGTTTTCTGATTTGTTTACTAACAAGAAACAAATATATAACTTTTGACATTCTAATCTATCTAATCTGCACTAAGTTTTCATTATTTGCCTTTACAATTTTTCACAATGAAATAATTTATATTGAAATTTAATAGCAAATTATAATTTGATAATTATCAAGTCAACTTTACTCTATCGTTTTTTGCAAAATAAATATCAAACTCTTGTCTAATGTATTAGGGTGTAATTTGATGATAATTTTCTAAAAAGAAAATATGAATTTCGGAAATATAACGGTATGAATATGGAAGTACTTGTCAATGAGTTTAGACTTCGGAGTTTAGACTCTCCTAAAGTCATCCGATCGTAACTTCACCCTCGATTCTTGGGCACAACATTATTGAAATATATATTCGCCACTGTTCATTGTGGTTGAAATCGAGTATGCAGAAACCCTTTTGAGGGTTCGGAGTACTAAAGCTGTCCTTCTGAGCAAACATACAATAAGCATTTTCCTCTTGCTAAGCTTGATTTAGGCATCTGAGACATTTATGTTGAGCCACTCTAATCTAAATACTTTTACAGTATACAACTATGACCTCTACACAGGTAAAGACAGAAGATAAATTTCATTTTTCTCCTTCCGCATTGTCCTGACACAAAGATTTACCTTTTACTATAACTTCATCTAAAGTGCTTCATTATCACCGAGATTCATATAAAACTTAAACACTTTATAAGGTTTTCCTTTCATGCCATAACTTTTCAAATTAACTTTAAATTATGACAAAAAAGAAAAATTTCTTATAAATACAAGCAAAAAGTTAAACAAATCCGAAAACGAAACTTTGACAACAGAAACTTTTTAGTTACAACATAAAACAAACTAACTAAGGAATGGTTGACGAAACAAATAACCCTTCTCTATGGTTTGTTCTTGGCCTGACCAAACCTCTAACCGCAACAACATAATTCCTTGAAACCAGTTCATGTTGCAATTGCAAAACATCTGTAAACTTGGAAATAATGAATGAAAGGAAGCATTAGACAGCAATGGCAACAATAAAGTCCTTGGCAACACTTTTTGTCAGTGTTTTCTCTCATTCTTATTATTTAAACGTGTTTTATTTGTGTGTTTTAGTTGTAAAAGAAAAATACTTGAATTTTACCAAAAATAAAAAGAAAACCAATTTTTCCCAAACAAAACCTCAACACTTTTCTCGGGCATCTGTTGAGAATGAAATTTAATGTTTATTAACTCTTTATTATTCAACAAAACGAATGATTGCTTAAGGAAAATTTAAATCATAATATTATTTTAGAGGATTAATTAAATATTTGTTAAAAATTGAAAACATAATTTAAAAAAAATTAGAAAGTAAAATCGGGAATGTGTACGAAACGGTTATCCTCTCAAACTAACTAAAAAAACGAACGAAACGAACTAAACGAACGAACAACGAACGAACGAACGAACGAACGAACGAACGAACGAACGAACGAACGAACGAACGAACGAACGAACGAACGAACGAACGAACGAACGAACGAACGACGAACGAACGAAGAACGAACGAACGAAGAACGAACGAAACGAACGAACGAACGAACGAAACGAACGAACGAACGAACGAACGAACGAACGAACGAACGAACGAACGAACGAACGAACGAACGACGACGAACGAACAACGAACAAACGAAACGAACGAACGAACGAACGAACGAACGAACGAAGAACGAAACGAACGAAACGAACGAACGAACGAACGAACGAACGAAAACGAACGAACGAAACGAAAACGAACGAACGAAACGAACGAACGAACGAACGAACGAACGAACGAACGAAACGAACGAACGAAACGAACGAAACGAAGAACGAACGAACGAACGAACGAAACGAACGAAAGAACGAACGAACGAACGAACGAACGAACGAACGAACGAACGAACGAAAAACGAAGAACGAACGAACGAAGAACGAACGAACGAACGAACGAACGAACGAACGAACGAACGAACGAACGAACGAAACGAACGAACGAACGAACGAACGACGAACGAACGAACGAAGAACGAACGAAGAACGAACGAACGAACGAACGAACGAACGAAACGAACGAACGAACGAACGAACGAACGAACGAAGAACGAACGAACGAACGAACGAACGAACGAACGAACGAAGAACGAACGAAACGAACGAACGAAAGAACGAACGAACGAACGAACGAACGAACGAACGAACGAAACGAACGAACGAACGAAACGAACGAACGAACGAACGAACGAAACGAACGAAACGAAAACGAACGAACGAACGAACGAACGAACGAACGAACGAACGAACGAAAACGAACGAACGAAAGAACGAACGAACGAACGAACGAACGAACGAACGAACGAACGAACGAACGAACGAACGAACGAACGAAACGAACGAACGAACGAACGAAAACGAACGAACGAACGAAAACGAACGAACGAAACGAACTAACGAACGAAAACGAACGACGAACGAACGAACGAACGAACGAACGAAAGAACGAACGAACGAACGAACGAACGAAACGAACGAACGAACGAACGAACGAACGAACGAACGAAACGAACGAACGAACGAACGAACGAACGAAACGAACGAACGAACGAACGAACGAACGAACGAACGAAACGAACGAACTAACGAACGAACGAACGAACGAACGAAAGAACGAACGAACGAACGAACGAAACGAACGAACGAACTAACGAACTAAAAAACTAACTAACTACGAACTAACGAACTAACGAACGAAACTAACGAACTAACGAACGAACTAACTAACAACTAACGAACTACAACGAACTAACTAACTAACTAACAACTAACTAACTAACTAACTAACTAACTAACTAACTAACTAACTACTAACTAACTAACTAACTAACTAACTAACTAACTAACTAACTAACTAACTAACTAAATAAGTTAAATCATGGACCAATACAATACAAAATTAATATTGCATGAATTTCATGTGAAACCAACGTATGGACGCCCATCAGCGCAAAAATGATATTTTCTGAATACATTTTTCACGTTAGTAATTTTAATTGTAAATATAGTCCGTAATGAGTGTAAATGTCTGATTGTGTTTAAACAACTTTTTTCTGATATTTTAATTTATACAATTTTATTATTTCTCCGCATTGTTATGTAGCATAATTACTTTCAATTTGTACAAATATTGCATAAAAGAAGAGCAGAAAAATTGCAGGTCATTAAAAAGGAACAAGTAAAAATGAAAATTTCAGTTCATAAATTAAAAACAAAAGAACTACATAAACGAAAAAGTGCAAAAAAATTAATAAAAATCATAAAGTAATAGCATAAACGAAATAGGTGGCAACTACATTTACAACACTTACACGCACACACACACAATATACAAAATCTTACCGAGACCTGAGTGGCTGTGTAGGAATTTGCTCGCGGCCGATTACTTAAAAATGTCGTACGCCATTTACGCTTCATCTGAGCGATCACTTCGCCGTTAAAGAAACAAAAGAAAGTGGCCACACAGAGACCCTAAAAAGAGAGAAAAAAGAAAATTTAATTAGAATTGCCAATTTTATATATGTAGATATATTTTCACTAAGTATTTCATTTTGACTACTTTTTTAAAGAAGGCTCCGCTAGTGTTTAAAGACTATTATCACAATCTTTAATAATAATTTTTCTAAAGAATAATTCCAAATTATGTAAAATTTTCTTTTTTCATAATTTCACAGGGCTTTTGTTTTAGCGTCTTCTTTATTTAAAGTAGAAGAAAAATAACGATGATAGAGTTTCACAACATAAAGAAGTCAGTCATACGTACAATATTGTTGGTGTTTACAGTGGTCTAAATAACAAAGTGCAACACGAAAAAATAAAACCATTATGTGATAAAACACCCGTGTCTCCCACCTTTGCCCAAAGTCATGATGCACTTTTTTATGTCCCCCCAAAGATTTGGCGACTCACTGTTATTTTTGCTGACAAGTGATAATTTTCTCAAGTTCATATCTTGTAAACCGTTTGGAATTTTGATTTATTCTTTGAGGAAAAGTTGTAGCTCTTGTCATAGGAATCAAAAATTCTCTATATTAGGCGTATACTTAATATTTGTAATATCAATAAATCGTTAACACGTATACGTACAGGGATCGTTAATAAAAATAGTGTAATTACACCATGTAAAACTTTCGACTTGAAATGAAAAAATACAGATGAAGTTTTTTGGATTTTATATGTTCACAATTTTTGTCAGAAAATTCCTAACAGTTTGCAGAATATGAGCCTGAGAAAATTATCACTTTTTTGCAAAAATGACACAGAGGCCCCAAATCTTAGGGGGACCAAAAAAAAAAACGTGCATAACTTTAGGAAAAACTGGGAGACATTAGTCTTTTTGGTATTTAATCACGTAGTGCTGTCCGTATATGGTTATACTAGCATACCCTGGGTGCTTCGCTACCCTAACCAAAATTAAATACATACAAAATGTTGTTTACTTTTATAGAAAATTAAAATTTATTAATTATTTTTTTTAATGTTTCAGTTTTTACGTTCAATATCACGTGAATAAATTCACATTCAGTAAGAATTTTTAGTTTCATTCGTTTAGCTTCCACATTATAGAAAATTTCGAAAGTACTATTTGAAAAAAAGTACTATATAATACCTCTTATAGATTCTTATTTAGTCAACAATTTTATGTTTCTGTGTTCAATATTATAGACAATTCAAAAAATATAATTTGATGAATGAAAACGTACCAAAAGTCCCTTTCAGTAGATTGTCATTCATTAAGGTCCCCACATTTTAAAATTTTATATTTCTATGTTCAATATCGTAAAAATATCAAAAAGTACCACCGAAAAAACAAAAAAGTACAAATATCTCTCTGCGGTTAACCATTATAGAGAATCCAAAAGGTATTATTTGAAGAATGGAAAAGTACCAAAGAGTTCTCATCCCCTACAGAATATTATTCAGTCAAGACCATGTATGTTATAATTTATGTTCCTAGTTTGAATATTTTAGAAAATTCAAAAAGTACCATTTATGTCTATAAAAAGTACTAAAAAGTTCTCTCTTAAAGAATCTTATTCAATGAGCACCGTGTATGTTTAATGATCATGTGTTTCGAATTCATATTATAGAAGTATCATTTGAAGAAAGACAAAGTACCAAAAGTGGAATAAATTCTACCTTAGTAGAAAGTACTAATAAAAATAATACAATTTTTCCCCTTTTCGCTTAGAAATATACTTTTTGAGAATTAGGTTTACAAAATGTTCCGTATTTAAATCTCTATATCACAGATAAAACTCAAACGATTCAAATCTGCATTCATCTGTTCCAAAAAGTACCAAACAATTTACTCGAATTTGGTCCTATATAGGCCTTAGTTCTCGAATTCCTAAATAATATACTAATAGCTTATTTTGTGTGAGTAAATAAACTACTTTTTAAAATTTTATAAAAATTGGCTGAATGAGTTTGAATAAAATTAAATTTCCCGTTTTCCCATTTTTTGTACTTTTTTCCCCAGTGAAATAGCAAAAATTTTGTTCCAACAAATAAATCGAAAAAGTTTTCTTAATGTGCTAAAAAAAGTACCAAAAATACACTTTTCTCCCTTTTATACCCAAAAAGGACTGAATTTTAAAAAAGTACGAAACAGTTGTTTTCTAATTTTGGGAGATTTTATTTTGTTTATTAGTTAAAAAGTTATAAAGGGCCAAAAAGAGTACCAAAATCACCTTTTTACACATTTTCACCATTTAAAAGTACGAATTTCAAAAAAGTACCAGATAATTAAGAAAACCTGTTTTAGCCGTTTTTCCCTTTTTTACCCCTAAATGTACAAATTTCCAAATATCTTTCGCTCCTTAGTGGATCTACATAACCAAAAACACATCTATTATAAAAATTTCATGATTCTACGTTCAGACGTTTGGGCTGTGCGATGATGAATCAGTCAGTCAGTAACGCTACTCTTTTATATATGTGAAACAAGTGTGAATTAAATTTTTAGCTTGTTTCTATTTTTCGTTTTTAAACCAGAATGAAATTTTTTATTATTTTTAAATCTAAACTGTATTGATACAAAATTATTTTTTAAGTTGAAAGTATTTTTATAAAATTATGTAAAGTTTAATTGTATTGGCTACATAACCAATTGAAACAAGTGTGAATTAAATTTTTAGCTTGTTTCTATTTTTCGTTTTTAAACCAGAATGAAATTTTTTATTATTTTTAAATCTAAACTGTATTGATACAAAATTATTTTTTAAGTTGAAAGTATTTTTATAAAATTATGTAAAGTTTAATTGTATTGGCTACATATGTATATAGATTTCCATGACCTAAAAAATACACACTGTGTAATAAAACATTTTACTTAAAAAATTAGGTAATTAGTATAATTTGTATTAAAGTCATGTTTTGCTAAAATAGTTTGTAATAAATTCATTTGCACCCACTTAACTTTAATTATGATACTAGAACAAAAACAGTGTTCCACGTAATTTCAATTGACTAAATATAAAACTAGATTTTTTCCCACTACAGTGTCAGAAAAATGTCTGTTGCTGTCATGTACTTATCGTACTATTATCATTATAAAGAAACTCAAAACTTTTTCGTACATCCATGTAAACCTCATTGTGCACAGAACTTTATAGTAACTGGAACTTATTTAAGGCTTTTTTCAAATTCGCTTTAAAAAACTAAAAATAAATATATAAAAATCTAGTTTGTATTGTAGTAGTACTAAATTGTATCAGAACTTTATAAAATATACTTATAGCAGCTGTTGTATCCTAAAATTGTATATAACAAACTACTGTTTTGTATGGTTTTGATGCACAAGGCATTATAACCTTTTTTTATTTTGCAACCTATTGAACTTAAAGTCGTGTTTTACTAGTCTAGGAATTGAACATTATAAACTCCGCTATTAATTCTAAATGAAGGTACAACAACATTTTAACCAACTTTGTATGCTTGTCTACTTTGTTGATGTAATAATAGCTTACTGTAAAATTATGTAAAGGTTATAGACTGGTCAAAATATATTAAAACAAGTAAGAGTGCAATACCAAAAAACATAAAAAAATATATTAAAAATTTAGGGTAAAGTTTTTTAATTTGATCCTGTGTATAAAGTATAAATGGACGGCGAAACGGGAGCAGGCATTTGTAGTCCAAAGTGCCGAAAGGCCATCCCCCTTGGACACTATCCTTCAATCTTTCAAGCAGAAATACATATATGCCATCTTTATTTGTGCTAGGGAGTGCGTTAGCAGAAGAATTTTTATAACGTCGGATAGAGAAGCATCACTCAAGGCCTAATTATCATACGAAATAAGGTAGGGTGTTGTAATGGACTTCATGACTTCACTCAATGAGGTAGGTAAGCATAACAAACTATGTTAGGTGTCAGAAGAAAGGACAGACTGCTTAGCGAAAAGATTAATCGGCCCTGAGCCCTTCTTTTGCATTCCCCGAGGATACGCCAAAGCTAAATGTAAGTCTTGGGTGAAATTTGAATTTACTCGCCATTGGGAAGCAATACCAGGGCTCAGACAGACAAAATGTTTCATTGCACTGTCAAACTGAATAAAAGCGATCTCAGAGTACTAACGGGATTACTCTTCAACGAATCTATGCAGATTATGTGGTTTACAAGAGGAAACCTCAGAACATATCTTATGTAACTGCCCAACATTAGGGTCTTGCAGAGCTAAGATCTTGGGTGCTACCTTACTAACCCTGAAAGACATCTTCAACCTCTCACCTACTTAACCAGTTACCTTCATGTGTAAACTAAAACTTGTGTGGTGAACCAACGGGCTGCACAAAAGATCCACACATATGTTGCAGTGCCCATTTAATTCAATTCAAATCAATGCATGTGTGTATACTATGTATATACACTAGAGTGCTCTATTCCTGTTTGGGTCTACCGCAAACGTCTCTAGATGTTGTTGCCGTCAAAAAGACTAACGTGAAATAAGGCCGACACGCAGGTGTTCAATGTGCTCATTTTATTTGATCGTGGTTAGGTTCAAAACCCCGTTTGATTACATTTTTTTTTTTTTTTTGCGAAAAAAAAACCCTTTTAATTCCCTATTTGTATGAGTGGTATCAGAAATTGTGGACCGATTTCTCAAATTTTTAACAACTTGCACCAAGAACTATATGTCTGATGAAATTCATCAATTTATCTGCAATAGTTTTTGTAAAAAGTACAATAAAATAAGTAGGAAGTTGTCGATTATTGTACTCCCAAAACCTTCTTCGACATTGGAGTAAGGTCATTCCCCACACAATTTTTCGGCATACACAGACAGTTCTAGACGAAAACAGCTAGTAAATGGTATCTTCATTTCGGAGTTTGGGATAAAATTAGCTTGTGGGATTTTTAATTCAATGTCCGATATGGATAAAAAATACAACATTTTTTATTAACGCTCCAGTCAAGTTGGAAAAACAAATCAACCAGTATCATAAGTAGAAGATATGGTCAGTGCTTA